TCATGAGCCTGAAGGAAATCATGAGATTTCTATCAACTATATCCATAATGGAAAGATCTGGGATCGAAATAAAATGGATGAAGTTGATGACGTTTTCTCATACCTTTTGTCAAAGGAAATTGATGAGGAAAACGAGGATCCAGAACCAAAGTCGGTATATGAATGTCAAAAGAGACATGACTGGATAAAATGGAAAGATGCAATACAAGTCGAACTTGATTCGCTCAATAAGCGAAATGTATTCGGACCTATCGTACTCACACCTGAAGATGTGAGACCGGTTGGATACAAGTGGGTTTTCGTTAGAAAACGAAATGAGAAAAATGAAATTACGAGATACAAGGCTCGTCTCGTAGCTCAAGGATTTTCTCAAAGACCCGGGATTGATTATGAGGAAACATATTCCCCCGTTATGGATGCAGTAACGTTTAGATTCTTGATGAGTCTAGCGGCTGATAAAAATTTAGAAATGCGTCTCATGGATGTTGTTACAGCATATTTGTATGGATCATTAGATACAGATATCTATATGAGAGTTCCCGACGGGTTTAAGATGCCAGAAGCATTGAAATCTAAACCCAAAGAGTTATGTGCAATAAAGTTACAGAGATCATTATATGGGTTAAAGCAATCTGGGCGAATGTGGTATAATCGTCTCAGTGAACATTTAACGAAAGAAGGATACGTAAACGATCCTATATGCCCATGTGTTTTCATCCAGAAAACAAAATCCGGATTTGTGATAATCGCGGTATATGTTGATGATCTAAATATAATTGGGACTCAAGATGAAATAAAGAAAGCAACAAACTATTTAAAAGGGGAATTCGAGATGAAAGATCTCGGACAAACAAAGTTTTGTCTTGGCCTACAAATTGAACATTCCCAAAAGGGTATATTTGTGCACCAATCCACGTATACTAAAAGAGTGCTAAAACGATTCAACATGGATAAGGCAACTCCTCTTAGTACTCCTATGGTCGTTAGATCACTTAACGTTGAGAGTGATCCATTTCGACCGCATGAGGAGAATGAAGAGATACTCGGTCCTGAAGTACCGTATCTAAGTGCAATTGGAGCCCTTATGTATCTTGCAAATTGCACTCGACCTGATATATCATTTTCAGTCAATCTTTTGGCTAGATTTAGTTCATCTCCTACACGAAGACATTGGAACGGAATTAAACATGTCTTTCGTTATCTTCAAGGGACTATTGATTTAGGGTTATTTTATCCTAAAAATATAAATGGTCAAATGATTGGTTTTGCAGATGCAGGATATTTATCAGATCCACACAAAGCTCGATCCCAAACAGGATACGTATTCACGATTGGAGGTACTGCTATATCATGGCGTTCTCAGAAGCAGACACTTGTAGCTACTTCTTCAAATCATGCTGAAATCATTGCACTCCATGAAGCGAGTAGAGAATGCGTGTGGCTACGATCAATAAGTCGACACATTCAAACGAGTAGTGGAATTCGTCTGAATACGGAGCCAACTATCTTGTATGAAGACAATGCTGCATGTGTTGCTCAGACAAAGGAAGGATATATCAAAAGCGATAGAACCAAACATATCCCTCCGAAGTTCTTTTCATACACCCAAGAGCTCGTGAAGAATAAAGACATTGAAGTAAGATATGTCCGATCATCCGAGAATTCTGCGGATCTCTTCACGAAATCATTACCCACCTCTATATTCAGGAAACATGTTCATAACATTGGAATGCGTCGTCAACAAGACTTGTAAGTTATGATCCTGATCATTCGAGGGGGAGCTTGCGCGGTTGCACTCTTTTTACCTACTATGGTTTTTCCCACCGGGTTTTCCTAGAAAGGTTTTTAACGAGGCAACAGAAGACATTACGCAAGAGACATAGTGACACTGGTCTCCAAGGGGGAGTGTTATAAAAGTCATGAAAAGGAGGAATCGTAAAGTCGCAAAAGATGCGCACATGGGTTAAACGTTTCGTTATTTATTAATTTATGTGGAGCCCACCGTCACTATGCATGCATAGTAACTTACTTTTTCCTGCCTATATAAACGAACGAATTCGTTCGTTGTAAATCACAATTCATACTTCAACAATAAGAAGTTATAAGAAATCTCTCTCCTCCTCTCATCTCTTTATTTTCAGTATCCCGATCCTTCTGCGGGTATAAATTCTTTCTCCATTAAATATATTTATATACACCATAAAATAAAGTAATTATTATAACAATATAATACTTTTTGCAGTTTTATTATTATAAATAGTTGTATATATTGCAATTAAAATTTAAGTTTCCTATTTTAAAGACTTCTGTAAAAAGAGATTTGTCAACTGAAAATTACCGGAGTTGATCATCATCTTTCAAGTTTCAATACTCTTCAGATTAGTAAAAACATTCATCTTTAACGAATTCGGTTATCTCAATGGGCCTATTACTATTTGAATATGCAATGAACTTCATTGGACTATCCATTAACATTATTAAAACTAAACTACATTTGTATTGGGCTGGAGACAACTTACTAAAAAAAGTTAAAATCACTCTTTAATTAAAATTTTAAACATGTAAAAATCCACTATGCAAAAGTTTAGGACCAAGAGAAAAAACTTTCTTGGTCCTAAATCCACATGAATTTAGCTACGGTTAATGTAACTTTTGTTGTTAAATTAAGGCTAAACAATAAATATTAATTGGTCAGGTCCACAGACAGCCATTGGCAAGTGGCAAGCACTAAAAATTCGACCGTTAGTTTTTGCCCCTTTCAAAATTGTCTCTTTAGTTTTATTTTAAAGCTTTTTAGCCCGCTCCTCTCCACCTTTAATTTTTCTGATTGGATCTGTCAAAATCTTGGCCTCTCTCTCTCTCTCTCTCTCTCTCTCTCTTTGTTGGGTTGATCGATCTCTTCTTCCATGGCGATCCCTACGGAGACACAACACCAGGAGAAGGTACTCTTTCACGATTCATTAGGGATTGTGATAGCAAATCTTTTTCCGTTTCTTTTGATTTTGCTTTGGAATGTTGTTCTTTTTCTTTTGCACGGATTAGGGTTCGGAACTTTTGTGAATTTAAACAATCGATTTATGTTTAAGAGTTAAAGAGAATCAATTAGGGCAATTTCAAAGCAGATTCGTTTCTAGCGTCGATGATTCAATTGTCATATGATCTGAAATTAGGTTTTCATTTTGTTGTCAGGAGGCTTCAGATGCTGCACAAAAGAGATGGACTTTAAGCGATTTCGACATCGGTAAGCCTCTTGGCAGAGGAAAATTCGGTCACGTCTATCTCGCCAGAGAAAAACGGGTCAGTCACTCAATGATCAATCTTCCACAATATTCAAATTTTGTTGTAGGACTTAGTTCTAGAATCCAAACTTGATTGTTTTTTCCACCAATCTCACACATACATGCGAATATGAAACAGAGCAATCACATTGTCGCTCTTAAGGTTCTTTTCAAGAGCCAGCTTCAACAATCCCAAGTTGAACATCAGCTCCGAAGAGAAGTTGAGATTCAGTCTCATCTTCGACACCCCAACATACTCCGGCTTTATGGCTATTTCTATGATCAAGTAAGTTACAATTTTTCTCCTTTTTATTGACAGATACAGTATCCAAATTCTTGAGCATGATAAAGTTCCTCATTTGCTGCAGAAAAGAGTTTATTTGATACTTGAGTATGCTGCTAGAGGCGAACTTTACAAGGAACTTCAGAAATGCAAATACTTCAGCGAAAGACGAGCTGCAACAGTTAGTCCTTCTTTCTATGATTATTGACCTCTCAATCAAACTAATTCGTTCTATAAACACTGATATCCTTATATGTTCATTGTGCCAGTATGTTGCGTCATTGGCGAGGGCTCTCATCTATTGCCATGGCAAGCATGTGATACACAGAGATATTAAACCAGAGAATTTGCTAATTGGTGCTCAGGTGATATAAGCTTTACCTGTTCCTTGCAATAAAAATCTGTCCATTTGATTTATGAAACTAGCTAATATCGCTATTCATGGATTCTTCTTAACGATCAGGGTGAGCTCAAGATTGCAGACTTTGGTTGGTCGGTACACACATTTAACCGCAGAAGGACAATGTGTGGCACACTAGATTACCTTCCTCCTGAAATGGGTAAAGTTGAATACTTGCTTGAAAGTTTGTTCTAGTGTGATCTAAATTATTTTTAACAGTGACCTTTTGGTTTTCTTATAGTCGAAAGCGTAGAACATGATGCTAGTGTAGATATCTGGAGCCTTGGGATTCTCTGTTACGAGTTTCTTTATGGTGTACCTCCTTTTGAAGCCATGGAGCACTCAGACACATACAGAAGGTAGACAAAAACACCTGCATTTGAAATCTACAACTATAGTCTGTTTCTTGTGGGTTTGTTTGATGATATTGTTACCACAAATGATATATAACAGGATTGTGCAAGTGGATCTCAAGTTCCCTCCCAAACCAATTGTCTCTGCATCTGCAAAGGATCTCATTAGCCAGGTTTTTCTATACCTTCAATCTAACACATACACTTTGAGGAAAGTAGTAGTTGTTGAATCTAAAATTCTCACATATTTTCTCGATTGAATGTACAGATGCTTGTCAAGGAGTCTTCCCAACGTCTGCCATTGCACAAGCTTCTGGAGCATCCGTGGATTGTGCAAAACGCTGATCCTTCAGGAATATACAGAGGTTAAAAACAAAACACTTTCAGTTCTTACCGTTCTTGGCAATCTCGAGCCAAACTGTTATCTAGAAAGACAAAAAAAAAAGAACACCATTGTGTAGGTGTATGAATCTTCTTATTATTCTTTTTCGCTAATTCATGTTTCGAATAATGTGTATCCCAAAAAAATTATCAAGTATCTGTATTACGTAATATGTACTATGTCATTAACTAGAGAAGGAAACTCTATAAAGAGTTGTTAACTGAAAAATGTTTTCTTACTTTGTCATTTGCCCAAACTACATTCCAGAAGTTTAACCCTTGGTCACATTTTTGTTTTGTTTTTTGACAAATTATTATAATATATTACTGTGATTGTCGTAAAAGGCCACCATTAAAGACCAACGTGGATTAAGCACTCCGAGCAACAATCTAGCCGGACATTTGAGGTGTTTTTGCCGGAAGTGAAAAATAATAATAAAAAAAAAAAGACATGTAAATTAGAAGAGTTTCAAATTAAAGATGGAATCACACACCCTAGAACCAAGTTCTTTTGTCGCTATATAAAATCGACGAGGAAACAATCCCTTAAAAATAAACTAAAATAAAAGGACGATCTATCAAAGAGTAGCTGCAAAAACATGCGCGAAGTCAACATTTGGCTCATTGGTTGTAAACACAACGTCAAACCACTCACGTGTCCCCCAAATCTCCCCTTTTTGGCGTCTTTCAATCGTAATTTCCGCACACCAAATTTTTGTCTCTTCATGAAGCTGGTTAGCAAGCACCTTCTCCAGCCAGAAAACCGCAATTTTTCCACCATAATTCACGCATTTACTAGGAACATAATGAGTAATGCCAAACAATCCCTCCAAACCCTTCAACCTTTTCCACAATTTTTCCTCAGAGTCATACCAATCGATCATACAGCTCCAACAACTATAGAGCACGTTATCGATCACACATAGAGATGATAAGCTACCACCCCTACTCATCGATGGTTGTCCTTTTCTCCATCTACCTTTATGCAGCTCGTAAAGCCCATATGTCTGCATAGATTTCACGTAGACATTTCCATCATACCCTATGCTTTCGCACCTAGTAAGATCCCTGCATATTTCCTCGCCAGGACTCGACACAAACTCCCAAGTTTGAGTCTTTGTATCGAATACCTCCATCCAGATAGTTGCATCTGGATTTTGGCAGCCTCCTGCTACATATATTTTTCCATCAAGAACGCAAGCAGATGGGTTCACACGTGCAGCACGCATGATTTGGGCCTCACGCCATGTGTGAGAACGACAGTCCATGACCATGACGCTAGAAGATGCATTGTTCTTTATTGAACCGCCAATGACATAGATATTAGAACCAACCAGTACAACATCTGGCAAGTACTTGGGAATAGAATCGGGAGATAAAATTGGGACCATAACTTTCGTCGAGCTATTTGGTCTCCGGCAGAGAGTAAACAAACGTAGTGGGTTTGAAACGTGACGGATTCGTAAGCACACGTAGAGAAAACTCTCGGTGCGGCCTAAGAGGTTTCGGGTTTGGAAAAGCTCCGTTGAAGTGAGGAAAGAGCGGAATCTCTTGGAGACTAAGGAGAGAACTGGATAATACATTCTTGAGACACGAGCTAGACAATTTAATACTAAATCATCAGGAAGCATCTGAATACCAAACGTCATGCTTCTTCTTATAAGCGGTGGCTCTTCTTCGTTTGACATTAACAAAGTCTTGGAACGTTTTGGCTTTCTCTCCATCTCTAATAACAATAACCTCTTCCTTCCCCACTGCCACGATTATATATATATATACATGCCCTCGTCCTAATCCACTCCAACTGATTAATTATATTTCTTTATATTAAATTCCCACTCGGTTCTTGAAAAAAAACATCCTACCCCACTTTTATTTTATATTTTATTTCTTTTATATTTGTATATTTATTTTTATATATTAAAAGTAATTATCGATTAAAAATAGATTAAAATAATTAAAAGATTACGAAAATTTTGAATGAAATTGAAATCCATCATTTATTCATATATATTACAGTATAAATTTTTAATCCTTTTATTTATTTATTTCATTTAAGCGGTTGCGTTCTTTTGTAAATAAAGTATACCAAGTTTTTTTTTTTCACAAGAGTGTTATTTTTATTACATAGCCAAAAACCAACAGAATATGAGTGAGTCAAAGTAGAATACATAGCCAGCGAACAAAAGTATGTTTCCGGAGACAAAAGCCGGCGAACAAAGATATGTTCCCAGAGACAAAGCCGGCGAAACCAAAGTATACCAAGTTACCAACGAGAAAACAAATCAAAATAAACATATATATTAAATATTAATAAACAAAATAACAAAGCTCTAGGAAGGAGTAAGTTGTGCATCAATTTGTTGGCAAAACTTCAAGCTTGATTAAGAGACGAAGAAGATAACAAGACAGAATATCATTAATGGTGATGCAAAAATTTCAAATGAGGAAATGAAATTTTGCCAAAACAATTTTGGCTATTAGTCCGTAAACTCCGTGGTTCCTTTAGGAGGGGTTCATGAAGCTGGGCTGGTTTGTAGATGACAACATTCGCGCCCACATTCTGTCTGTAATCACAACTTTGTTCTGTCTTTCCGTTATTCGCTGCCCAGAGAAAAGGAAAGAAATAAAAAAAAAAAACGATTAAAGCTTGATGATCTTATGGCAAGGATATATATTTAGGCGAAGAAACTTACGTTAAAGGGAATGTAGGTGTGCCTTCCATTAACAAGACCAGAGACGAAGCCGGTATAGCCAGCCATTGCACCATGGACTGCGCTTTGGGCAAGGAGCGTTGAGTAGACGTTGTCAGATGCATTGGCTGGAATAGCTCGGATCATGTATGTCGGATCTGAAACATGGTTTGAGTCATATTTGTACTTCATGAAGCTATGTAGCTTGAGTTGAATTTGGGGAGGCATACGTACCAATGTATTTGAGAGTAATGTCCATTACACTCTGCTTCGCAAAATGTTCCTGTTACAAAAGCCAGAAAAGGAAAAAACGGCAATAAATCCACATAAATTTCTTGTATATAGGTGAAAATATGGGACGTTAGCAATAATTTACCTTGATTTTAAGACTCATCCATAGTCCTACATCTTTAAGGAGCTTGTTTCCTGAAGCATCTTGTTGATCAGTGCTCTCTGCAACAAGATCCTGCCCTGCCCCTTCAGCAATCACTATAACCATGTGGCCATTTTCTCTGAGCCGTTTTGCAATGAACTCATAGAGCCCTCCTTTGCCTTCAAGGTAAAAGGGTGACTCGGGAATCAGACAGCAGTCAACGTCTCGGCTAGCCAGAGTTGCATACATTGCAATGAACCCTGCAGTGTAGAAGCTATAAGATTATATAAAAGCACAGAAGAAACATCATAAGAAAAGATACTTCTGTGGTCTAATTTTTGTATGCATAATTGATCTCCTAGATTCTTCTATGAACTTACCACTGTAGCGACCCATTAGCTTGACAAGTCCAATGCCGTTTTCCACACTGTTCGCTTCAACATGCGCTGCATTAATAGCACGTTGAGCCTCCTCAACCGCAGTATCAAATCCAAAGGACTTGTCAATGACCTGAATCAGAGATACTATCAAATTGAGCTACTTGCGAACTAGCCAGAATAGCAGAGGAGGTTAAGGTTGAGAGTGAAGACTACAATAATGAATCTAGGACTTACTGGGATGTCGTTGTCAATGGTTTTTGGTATTCCTGCAACTGAAACTTTAAGTCCACGGCGCCTAATTTCCTGCAGCATCAGTCAAAAATATTTGCTTCACAAAATTAAAGTGCTTGTGACGTTTGCACACACAGAAACCTCACTGTTTTACCAGTCCAAATATTAGGAAAGACTATTTTATGTCTTTAAGTAAATAAACGTTCATTTTAATGAGAGCAGAATGTCTTACAAGTAATTTAATTAGACAGTTCTCTTCATAATATGTTTTAGATAGGTACGTTACGTCCAACAATAATACACAACATTTCACTAACCTTGTATATTGCACTTGCTCCCTTTTGGGTTCCATCACCTCCAATAATGTAAACCTTTATCACAGATGCAGACAAAGTAACTAACTCTTATTAGTAGAACTATTCTCCATAGAACACAAACAAACTGAAACAAATTATTCTTGAATACCTGATTTATTTCGCGATCTTCTATGTTGTCAACAATCTTTGATGTATCATGTCCTCCTCGGGAGGTTCCTAGTATGGTTCCCCCGCGCTTGTGGATGTCGCTCACAGTCTTCGGCGTTAGTGCAACAGTGTTTTTGGAATAGAACCCGCGAAACCCGCACTGCAGTATCAGAAACCAGATGAGCCAAAACATATCCTACTCGATCAATAATGGCTAAAATAGTATTTGCTTTCCATTTCAATGTGCACCAGTTATTAGGGATTATAGTTCCCACAAGTATATTAGAACTGCCACTACTTTATTATGCTCTACTACAATATGCAATAGCAGCTCTAGAACAAAGTATTCAGTCTACAAGTTTGGGACACAATAAGAGAATCATCCCCAGAAAAGACAGTCTAAAAGCATAAATCATAGGTACAGAAATTGAACTCACATCCACACCGATCACTTCTGTAACACCATACATAAAATGAAGACCACACACGATCTCCCTGATTACTGTATTAAGCCCGGGGCATAGGCCACCACAAGTGACAATACAGGCACGCACATCAGATGGCTTAAAGTACACCTAAACACAATATATAATGTCACAATATATAATGATATATCAGCAGTTTTTATATCATCAGATGCAGAAGCTGCAGAGCACGGGAAACTCATGGAAATAGATGAAATACCTTTTGGCGCGGTCCTGCACGTCTAAAATGTGTCCCTCTAGGAGAGTCCTTGTGAACAACAATCTATGCATAACACGAAAAGAAACAACAAAATGAGCAATGTGCTAACACATCACATGATCACTAATGCAGAGAACAAATGTAAGAAAGGAAAGCGCCGGTGAGTTTCACCTTTTCCTGGACTGTATCATCCTCATCAACAAAATACTGCCTGAAAATCCCACAGAACATGAACCCAATTAACTAACCGTCATCTAGCAATCAATCAAGTTCACAAGTACAATCTAAACTTACCTAACTACTGAATAAGCAGCATTCGATTGCAGCGGGTTAGGATAAGTCTGTAAAACCCGAGAACAGAAAAGGCATCAGGAAAAGTGAATAAAAAATGAAATGAAGCTATAGCAAGATTTGAAATCTCTTTTTATTTTCTCCATTACAAGACTAATTTTACAATCCAATTCTTTCATTATTCTACATGTATTGTATGATAACCTCATTTACATTAGCATCAAATTAAGAAAATTACAAGTGATTAATAGATCTAGTCAAACATTCGATCACGAGTAAGCATATGTGCACCAATCAATTTCCACGTTGACATTTCACATTTGTGAATATAACTATTTATGTAATTATCTACCTGATAGCGACCGGATCTCACCAACATATAGGCTAAAAATAGGCGAAACCAAATTATACAAACACAACTTTTGCATTTGTGTGTTTAACACGAACCACCAAATCGCAAACAATATCAAATACGTAAATCGTATAACCACTGATCCAGGAAAATGTCGATTTCAAAGAATAATCAATGGAATCGTATAGAGATAGAGAGAGGAAGTAATACGGGGAGATCGAGAATGTAATCGCTCAAATGAGGAACATCTTCGAGTACATAACCAGCAGGTCCTTCCACCAACTTTATCTCATCGACGCCATTAGAAGCCATCGAAGACCCTATTCTTCTGTGTTTCTTCTCCGGTGACGTAAAGCGAATGTGAATTTGAAGCGTATCAACGTCTGTATGTGAATTTTTAAATCTCAGAGCTCAGAGTGGTATAGAAGTAACAAGAGAACAAAAGGGGGTTTTTGAAGAAACGACAAAAGCGACGTCGTTTGACTCACCGTTACTTTATGATATACGGACATTAGCGAAATACCAGCGGAAACGGCGGCTGGTTTTTCCTCTTGTCAAATTTCCGGTTTTCAGAATTGGTTCGTGTATAAAAAGGAGAGTTTGGATAAACTTTCGTTTTAATTATCTTATTTATATCCCTTTTTTAAAAAAGATAATACAAGTGACTAAACAAGATTAGGAAACTAAAAATTAAAAACAATAAGAATATTTATCTTTCATTTCTCTTTTCGATGTCAAATATTTAGACAATTTTTTCTATTCTTTATAATCTAAAGATATTTATTTATTTTTATACACTGAGTATTTTATTTTTTATTTATATATGATATCGTACATGACAAAGAGGAAGATCATATCCTGTTGAAATGAAAGATAGCATTTATAAAAACTGAGATTCTTTTTGTAAATGTTTTTAATGTCAAGCTAATGTATAGGTCGAATAATTATTCTAGCTTATGTATTGCGATGATTGATTTTGAGAAAGGAAAAATTTAGCCTCCAAAACTTTCTAATGCTCAAGTCAAAAGAAAAATCTCAACAGGCAATTGTCCCAAAAAATCATAGAAGATAACTATCAAATTACTGGTTTATAATATTTGATTAACAAATCAGTCTAAACTTTACAAATCTTCATGAATCAATTTAGGATTTTAAAATCAAACAAGTGGATTCTGAAATAACAAAGTTTCCTCTCCAATTAGGAGTGCAATGAATTAAATATTTGGAAAGAAAATATTTAAGTTTTAATGAGTTTTAGATGATTTTGATGACTTTTGGAACATTAAGAAAGTTGTTATGATTTTGTTATCAAAAATATTTGTAATCTCACATAAAACCATGAGATTTAGATCTTTGTACATTTTTAATCACTACACCATAAAATCACTAAAAACCCACTAATTAAAATCATGTTTGCATATACTACAGCCTAAACTTTTGTATCTTTTATATTTAAAAACACTTTAATCTGGTAAAATCCAGTAGAAAATCAAAATTTTATTAATATCTAATAAACAAACAACACCAGTTTTCAACTATATTATTTAAAATCAATTAAAACTAACACATGATGATTTTAAATCAGTTGTTTCCATAACACATGATTTCACCCCACTAACCCCATAAAAATCTTTAACCTAAAAATCTGAACAAAAAATTATTTAATTAAGATATATTTCCAAAATTATTTAACATTGTTATCTGTTTTGAACGGAGACTTATCGGCTTCCTCCGAAAAATAATCATACACATTAATTATTAGTGAGAAACCTCCACTAATAAAAAATAATTAAATTAAAAAATCGAAACGCCGTGTACCTAATATCTTCCCCAAAAACACCAACCTTTCCTCTCTCTCTCTCCATCTCCCTCATGCCTCCTTCTTCTTCTCGATCCATCTCTCTCTCTTTCTCTCTTCTCTCTGTTCCTAGTCCATCGATTTAACCTCTTTCAGATTCTCCTTCTTCTTTGACTTTTCTTTGACACCGTAGTCTCTCTCCCCTTCCATCGATTTAGGGTTTCCGATTTCCTCTTCTAGTTTTTCTTTTCAAAATTTCCTTTCTTTTTTGTTCCTCTCCTTCTACAATCTCCTCGAATTCATCTTGACCAAGGAGGCGTCTGATCCGATCTCCCTCGAGAATATGTTTTTGTGCTGCTCTTCTGCTTTGATCGCGTAGGATTTGTAATCGTGTTATGATGGTGGGTACACAAAATTTAGGTGGTTCGTTGCCGCCGCTGAATTCCCCTAAAAGCTATGGAATTACGAAGCCGCTCTCGCTTGCTGGCCCTTCCTCGGCGGATATTAAGCGTAATGTCGAGCTGGAGAAGGTAAAGCTTTGTATTTGTTTCACCAGAGAATTGTTAAAGGATTCCATGTTTACGTTTTTGGCTATCTGATGTGTATTTTTTATATGTTCAAGTACTTGGTTGATGAGGGACTCTACGAGAGCAAGGACGATACCATGCGGAGAGAGGAAGTTCTGGGACGCATTGATCAGGTGACTCAGCGTGTCTCGTTGATTATTTTTTCTGTGTTTAGATAGGGAAGTCTTATCTTTTGATACTTGTGCTCATTGGGTGTCTGAATCGACTATTGAACAAACTTATTATGTTTATAATTCGTGTATTGTCTGGTTGTGGATTTTGGGGTAAGCATAGATCATAGTTCAATATGAAATAGACTGGTCAGGCATTTGTTTCTGTGTCCTTTGATTTATTTTGCTGTTTTTAAGTCTCTTCACATGCTGTTCATTGTGCTATTTGACTGAAATTATAACTCTTTCTTCTCACATTCTTCTACATACTCTTTTCTTTTAGATTGTAAAGCACTGGGTGAAACAGTTAACGCAGCAAAGAGGATACACAGATCAGATGGTGGAGGATGCAAATGCTGTCATTTTCACCTTTGGATCCTACCGACTTGGCGTAAGTGCTACCATTTCCTTGCTTTTTATCTTGAAGCTAAAATGTGTTTAATTTGTGTTTGGATATATGATTGTGGATTACTGGAGAGTTAGCTCTCTTTTTGTCTCTGCAGTGAAATCTTAGTCTCTGAGGCTGAATATACTTCAATTTGTTCACTTGCAGGTGCATGGTCCTGGGGCTGACATTGATACTTTGTGTGTTGGGCCATCTTATGTTAACCGGGAGGTGCTCTTACTATTTACCTCTTATTGATGCAAAAGCTTTTTTATAGTTCTTAACACTTGCTTTTACAGGAGGATTTCTTCATCATCTTGCATGATATATTGGCTGAGATGGAAGAAGTGACTGAGCTCCATCCTGTTCCCGACGCCCATGTTCCGGTCATGAAATTTAAGTTTCAAGGAATACCGATTGATCTGCTCTATGCTAGCATATCACTTTTAGTTGTGCCACAGGTAATTTTCTGTGAATTTATTGTATGTTTTCTGTTTTTACTGAAGCTGTAGGGTCTGATAACTTTATGTTAGCGTGTATATAATATGTCATATGTTGTGCTTGTTTGCATGTTGATGGCGACAGCTAGTGTATTACTCTTCCTCAATGGCTTATATAGTAAATAAATTTATTTTAGTAGTTTCTGGCTTGAGAGAGAGAGCTGGGAATTTTGCTGGCTGTTTTGGTGCATCAGTTTTGATTTTTATATGAAAACTGAGTCCATGAGCTGTCATGGTAGTTTACAATTTCTTGCTGAATCAAATTTCCTGTTTTCACGGATTTGATTTGTCTACAGGATCTGGATATCTCCAGCTCTTCTGTGCTGTGTGATGTTGATGAGCCAACCGTTCGAAGTCTTAATGGTTGTAGAGTTGCTGATCAGATTCTGAAACTCGTTCCAAATTTTGAGGTAAACTCACAGAATGCCAGTCATTATGTTAACATATAAATGAACTATGGTTACCTTCTCTTATCTTATGTACAATTGTAGCACTTCCGGACAACTTTAAGATGCCTGAAGTACTGGGCTAAGAAGCGTGGCGTGTATTCAAATGTAAGATCATAGCTTTCTGTAATTCATATTTATTGAAAATTTTCATGTCGAAGCTCTTGTCATATTTCTTATATTGGGCAGGTGACTGGATTTCTTGGCGGTGTAAACTGGGCACTTTTGGTTGCTCGTGTCTGCCAGCTCTATCCAAATGCAATTCCTAGTATGCTGGTTTCTCGTTTTTTCAGAGTGTATACTCAATGGCGGTGGCCGAACCCAGTCATGCTTTGTGCAATAGAAGAGGATGAGCTTGGATTTCCTGTCTGGGACCCTCGTAAAAATCATCGTGACCGCTATCACCTTATGCCAATAATAACTCCAGCTTACCCATGCATGAATTCTAGTTACAATGTTTCTCAAAGCACTCTTCGCGTTATGACAGAGCAGTTCCAGTTTGGTAACAATATCTTGCAGGTAAGTGTGCAAAACTTTTGTCTTGTCATCTCAACCATTTATTCAGGATCCTATACTTAAGCATGATTTTTAATGCAGGAGATTGAATTAAATAAACAGCACTGGAGCTCTTTATTTGAACAATATATGTTTTTCGAGGCATATAAAAACTACCTTCAGGTTGATATAGTGGCAGGAGATGCAGAAGATTTATTGGCTTGGAAGGGTTGGGTGGAGTCGCGGTTCAGACAGCTGACCTTAAAGGTTGATAGCCTCCTCTGTTCATTTGATTTTACAGCAATAAACCTGCTGTATCTTCAGTGTTTATTCATATTTGTTTTGGTAGAAAATAAGAAATTATTAAATGGTTCTCGATTTTGTTTATTTTCATTCAATAATGCAGATAGAAAGAGACACTAATGGGATGTTAATGTGCCATCCCCAACCAAATGAGTATGTAGACACGGCTAGGCAGTTTCTGCATTGTGCCTTTTTCATGGGCTTGCAGAGGGCAGAGGGAGTTGGTGGTCAAGAATGTCAACAATTTGATATACGTGGTACGGTCGATGAGTTCAGACAAGAAGTAAACATGTATATGTTCTGGAAACCTGGGATGGATGTGTTCGTTTCTCATGTTCGTAGACGACAGCTTCCACCTTTTGTTTTCCCAAATGGATATCGAAGGCCTCGGCAGTCCAGGCACCAAAATCAACCGGGTGGAAAATCTGGTGAAGATGGCACTGTTTCTCATTCTGGCTCTGTGGTGGAGAGGCATGCCAAGAGAAAGAACGATAGTGAAATGATGGATGCGAGGCCAGAGAAACCTGAGAAGCGTGCATCTCTTAGTCCACAGAGTCTAGATATAGTTTCTCCTGAAAGTAGTGCTATCACTACTGGTTGGACTCCTCCTGTTTGCAACCTTAGAAGGCCACCAAGCGAGGAAATAGAAGCTGAAAATTTGAACACCGAGTGTACTGAACTCACAAACTTTGCTCGAAATGAGTGTAACTCTGGCAGCGAGCAAGTTCTTGAAGTAGATAGTATGGCTCTAGTTCAAGAATGCTCTGATCCGGCTGAGCCTTTGGGAAAGTGTGTAACACCTGACTCTAGTGATGTGGTAGCATGTGTAAGTGGGCAGGAAGAAAACTTAGATCGTAATTTGAGGTCTGTATCCATCAGTGGTACTGACTCCCAACCTCTTCCGAGGCTACTTGATACGAAAGGTGTTGTCGATGAACTTGAGAAAGAATCAAAGACATTTGATGGGACGAGGACCACTGGAAATATTGCTGACAGTGTTCAACCCAGCAGATCTTGTGGGCAGAACCGTGATTATGAGGTTAGTTTTTTTTTTTCTGTATATGTTTCTGGTGTGTTATCAGTAAATTGGCAATAATTGCTTGAACATACCGGGCATAGTGATGATGGGTTTTTTACAGGGTTTCGGGTTTCCTGCTGCAAATTCAGATCCTTTGGGAAAGGAAAACTTGTACTCTCAAAGTGGCATGTCGGAAGACCTTCAGGTTATTAAGGTACCTTACAGTAGTTGGCATAAGTTTAGTTCAGTTGAAAAATTAGTTTTCTAGCTGCTTTAGAAATCAACTTCCAATGATATGCGAGCATCAGTGTCAAGAAACATAGGATGGAGCTAAGTTTGAAATTTGATGGTTGTCCATAAACAGTACTACTTAAAGAGGTCAATATTTTTGCTGCGTTATAACTTGACTTGTGTGATTTCTGCTGCATCCCGCCTAACTAGTGTATATATATGGTTGGCAGGTCCTGCACTGCAAAGCAACTCCGCTTGAAACCTATTGAATTAGACTTTTCTTTCTTTGATTAAGTTTTTTGTAAGGAATAAAACTAACTTATGTTGTTGCTCGTAATCTTGTTTTGTCTTAGTCAAACTCTTTGGTCAGCGGGATGGAGAAGTCGGAAGACAGAGCTAGGTCAGAATCTTTGCAGAAGTCACAGATAAGGCATGTGTGTTATGCAAAGTCATGATTTCTTTATGTTATTGTTGTTGTGTTTTTGGTTTCATTGGTGCTTTTATAGCACAAGCAGGTTAAGCTTAAAGTCCACTGTGTGAACGTCCTCTAGGCTATTGACGTGATAACCAGACACATCAAGAAAAGGAGGATATCAACTCAAATTGTTGCGGTGGACAGACGACAGAGTCCAGAAGCTTTTTGGTAAGTGAACTTTTAATATGGAAAAAAAAAAGAAAAAAAAAAGTTAAAAAATGACATTTGAAAAATTCAAAAAAAAAAGATAAAAGTTAAAAAAAAAAAAAAAGGAAACCAAAAGAGAAGAGAAGGTATAGGCAGAGGAGCATTGGAAGGATTTATTTTGGTGGTGGTATTTTGAGTGAGCTTGGACGACCAAAGCTCAATATGCGTCATGAGGTGGGGACAATGATCATTGACTTGAAGATGGAAATGATTTATATAATGTCGGGATGATGAATGCTTTTTTTTTAATTCGGCTGCTTCAGACTCCGGTCCTCTTTAGGGCTTTGACTTGAATCGTTGTGTTTTTAATTTTATTTTACCTTTTATGTATATAAGGTCTATGCCTTTGTCTCTCTTTTTTGGAGTTATGCTGTCTAAACTAAGTGAGAGTAGTTGCAATGAAAGGCTTTAAAAGACATATTCCTCAAGACACTGTTTCTTTTCTTTTAGAATGTGATGGAAAATCTATAGAGGAGTGGAATAATTTGGTTGTTGAACAATGAATAGAAAGCTTCTCAAATTTAAATGTGTCGGATCTGCTAGTTCCACATACAAGTCAATGGAATTTGAAAGCTTCACATAAAATGTACAGAGGACCATGAATAAGTTACGAGAGTCATGAGCTCTATATTGGAAACATAGTTCGAATTCCTCCAGAGACCAAAAACACTTTTTGTGGAGATGTCTTGTTTTGTGGACTTATCTAAAATACAACATGCCAAAGATTTTAAGAGTACAAGATGAAACAGAAACCCCATTCAATGTTTTCAATATATATTGACTGACTCGAAAATATGGGATTTAACTTGCATATTCGGGGCCAACAGATAAGAAATTCTCGGTAGTGACCTATAGCACTACAAATATCTACCTTTTTCAGCATGGAAACCTTTTCAACCATCAAGAAAACAACAACTTTAAATTTGATAGCCTAGTGGTTTGTATGTATGAAGTACAGTAAAATCTCCATAAATTAATAACTTCTCTAAATAAATAAATTCTTCCGTTCCCTAATTGGGACCAATGTAAAATATGATATAAATCGATAAATTAATAAGATAATAATTTTTTTGAAAATCTCATATAAACATATGGTCCCATCTATATCATAAATTAATAATTGTATTATCAATATATATATATATATATAAATTTTTATATGTTATATATGAATTACTATAATATATATTTAAAATATCATATGTGAAAATTTGATGAAATATGACTCTATTATTCGAAAAAATTTTGTGTTGTTTTTTAAACTTAATAATTGTTTATATACTTGTAATTAGTGTTTAAAAGATATTGTTTATAAAGAAAAAAATTTATTTTTAGATAGCATTTTTTTAAGAAATTATAAAATTAGTAAAGTCTCTCTATAAATTAATACCTCTCCAAATTAATAAAATTTTCTGGTCCCAACATTATTAATTTATAGAGGTTTTACTGTAGTGATATTTGATAGCCTAATGGTTTGTATTAATATCGTCATTGTGTCACCACCGGCGTTGAAACTTGTTTAACAAAAGAAAAAAATAGAATCTTATGAAAGCGTCATTCTGTGCAACACAACATTTAATTGGACATGAATATATATACAGAACCAGTACCCAACTAAATGAAAATATTATATTCATTGGATTTCTTAATATATACAATATACTACTGCGAATCCTCTTTACACAGGTGCAAGGTAATTAAGTAATTAACTAAGACCATCTCCAATGTATTTCTCTATTTTTAGCTCTATCTCTATTATAGAGGTAAGTTTTCTCTATTTTTACTCCAATGTGTTCCTCTATTTTTTCCTCTAAAAAGTTTAACTCTATTTATAGAGGAAAAAATAGAGATTCTCTATTCTCACCTCTATATATAGAGAAAAAAATAGAGATCTCTATAGAATAGAGGTGGGTTGGAACAAATTTGCCTCTAAAATAGAGTTTAGAGGCAAATATAGAGGTGGGTTGGAGATGCTCTAAGAAACAAAAAAAATCATAAACTCATTCTTAAATAATTAGCGTCTTTATTTTGTTTGATCTAGATTATTTTTCTCTTTCTGTCTTCTCTTTTATATACAGGGGATACTATCATAAGACAAAATCTAGACTTCTAAGTTCCAACCCTCTAGATTTTTAGTGGGATTTGGTGGAGAAATGCTATACTTCGTCGTATTTGCCTACAAATTTGGAGAAAACTTTTACGGAAACTTTTGACTTGTTCGACTACCAATCTAGTAACTTAGCAGATATAATATTGTATCTTTGCTGTATTTTCAATGCAATCGAAGTATAATTTATATGACAAGTAGTTTATAACGATGGATATATGTTTCAAACAACGTTAGGTTATTATATAGGCTTGCAAATTTTGTCGTTTTATGTCTCTGCATAAACAGCCGGAACATATTAAACGACAAACCAAAAATATCATAATATTGATATTAGTACCAACTCAAATGCATATGGATATTTTCCCCAAGGCTCACCAAATAAGAAAAATTAATTATTTTATAGATGCATAATATGAATACAACAAACGTACGTATATAGAGGGTCAATATAGAGGGTCAATCAACTAGATCATGTGTTTCGAGACAGTAATTGTAACGTCGATGGTCAATCTTTTAACGTTAATAGTCATTAGATGGTATTTTTGTTTTTTGCATACTTTTTTACATTTCTCATGATTAACATAAATATATGAAAGTATAAAACTTAACTATATATATGTATACCACACAAAAAAAAAAAGCTATTTCGAAGATCGAATTTTCTACAATTTCATCCAAGCAGATCCGAAACACGATCATGGATTGCACAAAACAAAAAGAGAAAAGGAAAACAGAAAACTAAGGAGATATATACAAAGGAGAAATTAGAAAGTCAAAACAAGACTACGAAAGTTACCTAAAATACTTGTTTTTATTTTTTCCATAAGATTTTTTGTAAAGTAAGTTACTGTTTTAAACCTCCTGAGCCATCATCCACTTCTGCAACCTCAGCTGTCTATAGAACCTCTGTATAAACTCCTCCGCAGCTCTGTCCACATGGCAGCTTTCCATCGTACCGGTGCTGCTTGCTACGTCGGGAAACACTGCCGCCGACACGTGTCGGTCCCAGATGGAGTCACGAACCTTGGGAAGTGTGTTGTACCGGATATACGCTTGGCGTTGGCGCTTGTTGATGAGCGGTTTGTTGTGAGACCCGTTACTACGTCGCCCTTTGCTTACGGTGGTGGCGTAGGAAGGTCTCGGTGGGGTGCTGCTGCAGCTGAACTCGTACTCTAGCTGGAGCGGGACAGGGGAGATGAAGGATGATCGGACATCTTGGTGGTCGGAAGGACGGCACGTGATGCGTGAGTGAGAGGTTGAGACGGCGTCGTTTAGGGATTTGCGTAGGATCTTGCCACGTTTAGCGAGTAGATGTGGATCGAGGGTTGTGAGGAGTTTATGACGTGAGGCGTCTGAAACCTTCTGGATGGTGAAGAGGACTAGCTTGGCCAGGCTTGAGAGCTTCTTCGTCGTGACTGTTGAACAAACCTCCATGTCGTCGTGTATTTGCATATGTGTATGTGTGTGTGAGAGAGAGATAGAGAGGGTTTGGCTTAGGGTTGGAGAGAGATGGGATTTAAAGCAAAATAAAGTGGGATTAATGAAGAAACTGATGATAGTCTTTATATAACGGAAACATTATTTTTATTCCGCTATAGGAGTAATGGCAATTTAGTTAATTTATCATAAATTTATATCAAAGTAGGAGAAAAGAAATCGATGGGTCCAATAGTTTTTATCTCAACCGTTAAAAACAACATTCTCTGGAATTTATTAAACCGACTCTAGTTTGAGTCTCCTACCATCGTATATTGTTGTAAAAACTAAAAAACCAAGTCAATGATAAATTCATGATATTATTGTACTTCCAAACTATCTAGCTAGGGATAAAAGTCCATGTTTTGTTTATAGGTTTTGGTTATGATATTCTTAAGTAACTACAGTTTGATAGTATTGATTTAAAAAAAACTTAAAAGAAAATAAGTAAAAAAACGAAAATACAAACTATAACCCAAAATTTTTGAATTCCACTCATGCTTACAATTGAGATCAACAATTTCATACATCCAAATTGTAAGACATATATAATTGATTTTAAATTTTATTACTGTAATAATTCCTCTTAAAATATACTCAATAAACTCATAAACTCTAATTTCTCTAGTATATAATATAAATGTATAATTAACCCCTCGTAAATCACGTGTTGGACCATTGGAGGAGCAGATATCTGGTAAATACAGATACTGAAAATTGATCTAACCTTTTTATTTAAAAAAAGATTGATCTAACCATCAACAAAAGCGACTCGATTACTTGGAAAACAAATTTACATTTAAATCTAAACAATATTTAAATAGTGTAATGATAACAGCTGCATTATACAAGTTTTATTTGAACCGTGTCTGTCTTTATGGATTTTAATATTTGGTTACCTTTTCTTTTTCTATGTCTTTACTTTAATTAAATTTCTTTGTCAGGTAGAAAAATAAAGAAAGGAGAGATATATTAAACTAACTTTCTCTTTTGGTTATGTAATTGTATTACTCTCTCTAAGTTGTTCGCATATGCAAAAAGTGTAATACGGGTAGGGATCCATTGGTCATATATTGTTCTATTTTAATCAGAAAAGTTGATTTTGATTGCTTTATCGAAAGAGTTAAAATCTTATCGAGAAATCATTTAATTAATATTCTTTGTGGAAGAGAAAATCAAGAAAATCATGAACTGTTTTCTTCCAAACTTTGGATGTCTCGGCCTCGATCCCAAGTTTCGTATAGATACTTCGACGGTCGACACTGACTTATATTAATATAAAATTCTGGGATATACCTATTTTCATTCGGAAATTCTGAAAATTTTAATTAATGAAGAATATAAGTGACTTTTACAAATATATAAATAAGAACGATTCATCGTGGGTTGTGGAAAACCAAATTATTCATTTTATTGATGAATAAAAAAATGATATTCAAATTCTTAGTATCGTGCTGTAATTTCAAAATTTAGTAAAAATAGTCGAAATTTAAAAAGCAATAACCATAACAATTTTAATTTAATTTAAAGGTTTTTTGGGTTCTTTTTCCAAAAACAAATGTGTAGAAATTTAACAGATGAAAATAGTGTCATCCTTTAACCTGAGTAGATTTGTTAACTAAGTTGACTTTTTGTTTCTTACTAAGACCATCTCCAATGTATTTCCCTATTTTTAGCTCTATCTCTATAATAGAGGTAAGTTTTTTCTATTTTTACTCCAATGTGTTCCTCTATTTTTTCCTCTAAAAAGTTTAACTCTATTTATAGAGAAAAAAATAGAGATTCTCTATTCTCACCTCTATATATAGAGAAAAAAATAGAGATCTCTATTTTAGAGGTGAGAATAGAAGTGGGTTGGAGCAAATTTGCTTCTAAAATAGAGTTTAAAGGTAAATATAGAGGTGGGTTGGAGATGCTCTAATAAAACTTCATCACGTAAAGTTGAAAATGTAACTTTTTGCTTCTTTTCACTTTCCCATGAAATTACTTGTTCGGACTACAGTATCGTGTTCATTTATCATCATTTTTGATATAATGACGAGATAATCATTACACCTAGAAGAAGTGTCAATGAGCTGGAGATAGAAAATTTCGCATTATCCGACCTAAAATTAGGCCTAGATATTGTAAATATTAAGGCATTGTTGAGCAATGAGTGCTTAATAATTTGCACAAAATTTTGTCATGATTAGTTATTACAATTTCTCCTCTTTTCTAAATAAAATAATGAAACTTAAGGTTTTGGGAATTGATGGGTTTGAGGACTGTGATGGATAGATATGTTCAAAGGAAAGAAAATGGGTCCCTACGGTAATTGAAATAAACAAAGTAAGGCAAAGCTTTTTACATTTTCCAATTTGACACCTTCTTAAGCAAGACTTAACTATAAATATCTTATTTAATACTAATAGATGAATGATATTTGCAACTTGCTTATTAGAAGAGGATACAATGAGTCAATTTGCTCATTTGTTGATCCATCTTGGCTGATCTTAAAAATCGTTATTCTCTATCGTGATTGAGTTCAAACATCATTTCTTCCGTACACCCTCAAAATATTCGTGCTAACTGGACGAATTGATATCAGAATAACTAGATGATGTAAATTGCGTTCACCCTTCTGGAAGCCACAAAGCATCAAGATTATTTAGGAATTAAGCTCAAAGATATTCAATCTTGTTTTGAAGAGTTTGGTATAGGGGCCTAGATATTTCAATGGCAATAATATCTTTATTTATTCTACTTTCACCAATATATTTGGATTAAATAAGGGAGTGTTTGGTGGTGTTTGATTAAAGGTCATATAAATATCTCATAACTGGAGAGTACAATTCAAAGTGAAAACCTAATACGTAACTTTGAATGTTTGTCAGAATATCTAATTAGCAGTGTATTGAATTCATTTTCTTAAGCAAGCCTGTAAATTAGGGGATTCGATATCTAAGGACCATGTTTGGTTCTAGTATTATTTTATAATGTCACAGCCACTTTTTGGTGGGTTCCATTTCTATCAGTTTATTTATTTCCGTGAAACTCATTGTCCTCTCATCATCGGTCGATTTGTTACTGGAAAAGTACAAAACAGTTTTCGAATTACTCTGCAAATTATCAAAACAAACATTCCGTTTTTTCTTCATACTTTCATGTATCTTAGAATCACTTTGGAATTAGCATCCTATGTTAACGTTTCTCAATAAAATAAAAATCTCCTGAAAACTTTTTATGGTTTGTTTGACAAAATAAAAAGATTGGTAAACCTAATTATGGCACAGATGAAAGTTAACTTCGAAAGTAGTAACATATACAATATTAAATATACTAAGATTAAACTCGCAGTTTGACAAAGGAAAACTCATATTCACAAGATCAAGATTGATTAGGGTTGATCTTTATAGAAAGAACTTCGGTTCTTGATAGATTTGTTCACGGAAACCCAAATTAAGCTAAACCGTTGTTTGACAGCTAACCCACTTTGACATCCCTGAAATTTTAGTCCTACTAGTCTACGTACTATAATCTATACGCAAACTAGTTCATATAGAACTTTTTAGGTGAATTAAACGGGAAACAACAAAATAATATAACTAAACACATAATCAGCGGTTGGTGAGTTCCTCCTATGAACACCGGCCGGATAATACGCAAATTTATTGAATTGAATGGTCCAGAAGCACTTTCCGTGGCCAACATTTTTCTTTTTATATTTTAATTAACAAAAGATTGGTTATAATTACACTTTGTGTTTATATATTTGTAAGGTTGCTGTAGACTTTGGGTTAGCTAATGATGACTAAACGATATATAGGATCCCTCCCTAGTATAATTTTAATCGCTCGTTAATTTCTATATTAGTGGAGTATCTTTGCAGTGTCGGATAGTGGGTTTGAAAAGTTTTGGTTTGGAAAGAAATAGATATTACATTATAATAGAGGCAGTTTACTTTTAATTTATTGGTCCATCCAAATAAAATAGTTTGTTTTTTGTCACTCGCATGAAAAAGAAGAAATATACATGAATTTTGTGCTGTAACCTCCATAAGTTATAGTATGTAACTAATAATCATCCGATGATATACAAGAACTCAAAATTGTTGGAGATTTTGTGTTTTCACTAGGGTGAAAGATGTTTGGGATCTGATAATATGATCCGATCCATTCCGAAACTTTTTATATCCATAATTTCTGTGCACTTGCATGATACTTAGGGGGGGGGGGGGGACAAATCATCTCCGAATGCATTTATAGGCCCATCCATCACAAATCGTCGATTAACAAACAAACAAAAAAGATAGAGAAACAAAGTATATTGACTTTCATTTTGGGCTCCATAGTGGATTTCACAAAGAAATTTAGACCATGCATTGCATTGTATTTGGGCTTGTAGGGTTTACTGGGTAGTACTTTGTTGATTTCTAAATGTTGGTGTTCTTAAATAAGTATGAGATTGATAAATTGAGGTACTTCTAACACAAATATATGTTACCATTTCATATCAAGTGTGATTTTCTAAATTAGTAAAAAGTTAAAACTATTAGCATTTAAGCAAATCAAATACCAATTTTATATGATTCTTTTCTGCAATATTTAGAAGTGTATCTAAAAGAAGTTGAATTTCAACATTTGAAAAGAAGTATAAATTTAGGTAATCATAGAAATAAAGAGAGAGTCCTATATATATAGAGAGAGAGAGAGACAAATGGAATAGATTTGTTTTGACATTTTGTCCAATAAAGCGATAAAGATCAGTTAAACTTACACGTCGACAAATGTCAAGACGTGAGATAAGGACCGAGGGTAAAATCGTATTTATACTCAACCACGCACTTGCTTGCCTTGGGCATATAAATAGGTTCTTCCTAGCAAAGTCGTTAACATAGCACCGAAGCAAATTCGTAGGTCAAATGGGAACGGAAACGGCGTCGTTTAAGTGGGAAGGCAAGAAAGTCGCTCAAGTCAACGGTGTCACGGCTGAGAAAGTCTGGTCGGTTTTTTCTGACTTTTGCAACGTCCAAGAGTGGTTCCCAGCAGTCGACACGTGTTACCGAGTCCAAGGAACCGATGGTGAACCGGGTCTAATCCGATACTGCGCCACGACCAAAACCAAGGAAGAGGAAAGCAGGTGGGCTAAAGAGAGGCTGGTCAAGATGGATCCCATTGGACGGTGTTTGAGCTATGAGATTCTCGAGAATAACGTTGGGTTCAGATCTTACGTGGCGACAGTCGAAGTAATGACAGTGGACGGTGACGATCAAGTGTCTCGAATCGAGTGGTCGTTTGTGGCTGATCCTGTTGATGGTTGGAAGAAGGAAGACCTTGAATCCTACGTTGACTTTTGCCTTCAACATATGGCCAAGAAAATGGAACTCAATCTGTAATATCTTTTTCTTTCTTAATACGTTTGTGTTTTTTACCTTGCAAGTCTAGATGGTGGTGGGTTTCATGTTAGGAAAATTAAATAAAAATGGCTTCGTACGTTACATATATTATTCTGTTGGTGGTATATAGTCTGCCACTACATTTTAGCTTGATAATTTTCGTCCATTACACAGCTGATTTGCAAACAATAAAAGTAAAATCTTTAACAAAATATATGCTAAAAGAATATTAACAACAAAAATATTCTAAAAGGATATGAACCACGAAGAATTGTTCTCTTTGAAAATTTATCGGAAACGACAGCATTAATTACAAGCGTTATACGAACGAAAGGGAGAATCAAATAGCTTTAGGAATTTATTACGAGTCTCGGGAATGGATTCCTCTGTTACGCGGCGGGAATTGCTATACGTCAGTCTTCTTCCTTGTCGGGCTTATTTGGACTTTGTTTGGGCCGTCATCTTTCATATATTAACAACTCTTGTTTGTAACAATGTTAAAGTTTAAAAAACTTGTCAGGTATTTTTTTTAAAAATACCTTTCTACATTATTTTCTAGAAATTTCGAAAGTGGTAGTCCAGTAGTCCCTAAATGTTGAAGAATAAAGACATGTTATGTGGATATATTAAGTTTCCAAGCTAATAAATCATGGTTTTTCATTTGTACACGAAGAACTGATTTGAGTTAAATGTTCCAATGTTAGAAAAATATACTTAAAGTCTTGATAACAACAACGAGGACATAGATAGCGATCTTTGAAAGAAAAGCAAGCGATCCTCAACCTCCTTTCCTCTAGCTATCTCGTCCATAAATTTATTGGTTCTCTTGTCAGCAGATCTGAACATAAGCTCAGGTTTACCTCTCACAAAATAAGTATCTCCAAATCCAAATGCCCAGATCGAGCTTAATCCTTTTGAATCCCTACCAACAAACATACAAAACCATAGATATATAGCGAGATTCAAAACTGAGTGTTGAGAGAGATAAAATTAATCTTGCAGATACAAAAGACTTACATAGAAATTAAGTTGGGAGAAAAAAGTTGAGTAATCGGGAGATAGTAATTGTAATGACGTCGAAAGGATTCTTCTGTGAAACTCTTCCGGATTCCATATGATGAAACTACGGTTGCTTGTGCTCCACGAGATAACTGAATCCAATGAAGGATCATCAACAGCCTCGTATACACCCACGTAGAATGCAGGCAACCTGATTGCGGCCTTATTGCTGTTCATCGCTCTATTTCACTTCAGATCTAAAAATCCCCAAAATTTTGTGGGATTTTACGAACGAAGAATGAGACAAACCCTAGGACGATGATACACAAAAACCATTGTCGTCATGAACCACCAAATTGTTTTGGGATTTTCACTTTGTTGTTTTCTAAAAGACCATAAAAAGTAAATAAAATTTTTAAAAAAGAAGTAAATAAATTCTTTCAAATTAGAGATGATAACTAAATACAAATTAACTAAGAGTTAAGAGTATATATAAATATATCTCTGGAAAAAAAGGGCTGTGTTTTGATAATTAAGGAAAAACTTGGAAAAAAGTTCATATAAAAGACCAGTTGAGGAACATGAAGGAGACACAATGAGCATCTTCGTCGTCGTTCAACACTTTCCATGCAACAGCCTTCTCGTATGTTACTGCTCTTCCCATGCTTGACATGCATATTCCTCCATCCATACACATAAACCCCTGCAAAATTTTTTTATTATTAATTAGTATTTATGAAATACCGTTAATTACACAATTTCTTTTTTTCAAACTTGAGCTAATTAAATGCACGACTCGGTCTAACGTACCTGTTGCATGATCTGAGGGAAGTCGGAGCATAAATTCTTCTTCCCGTTGTTGTTGTCGAAGATCTTGTCGAGAGTGATATCTTGAAGTGCCACCAACGTCGTCTCCAGCATGTCTAAACCAGCTTGGTTCGCAAATGTGAATACCGGCGCTAAGGCCTATAATGATCAAACCAGTCCACTTTCCTCGTTAGATTATGTAAGCATAATCGATGCTAAAAAAAGCATTAGGCGCAATGTTTTGGTCTATTCTAGTGTGCTTCGATTAGTTTTAGGGTTTATGCATTTTCATCACATGTATATAATTCGTTTTATGGTTTGTTCTTGAGTGAGTAGAAAGTAAGAAAATGACCTTGAGTGAGCAACACATGACAGCGTCAGGATGGTGCCAAAGAGACTTGAGAAGATCGGTTCCATGAGGTTTAAGGAGATCAACGCCAAGGTAACATCTATAGGAGTGAGAGATCCAGCGAGCGAGGGTGTGAGCTTCCGGTGACGCGGGTGGAGGACGCAAGCCACTTAGCTGATGGGAAGAAGGAGACAGAGCAAGTGCGACCCGTTGAACCGACGCGATCACACTTCTTACATATTGTCTAGCCATGGAAGCTACGTTTTCTTGCATATGCATCTCAAAAGCCAGCTGAAACGCTATAGTCATCACGGACTTTGAGTTTCCTCTGCTTCCACATGAATCTCCGGCTGTTCTGCTCCCTACGTCTAGAGCCGACGCTAGGTCTAGCGTTCGGTTAGGACTCAACCCCTCCTATATATTATTCGATTTATTAGTATTTGATTCAATTATAGTTAATGATTGTGATTGTTATATGAATTGAACGTACTGATTTGGAATCTAGAGGAATGATGCGGAAGCCAGAAGGAATGATCGGGGCATCATCAGAGAAAGAGGCGTCGATTGGTGCAAAGATAAGCTCTGCGCATGATTCAACTGCGTTCTCATCCACCCCACTGCACATCTATATCATCAAACCATAAAAATTATATTAGAATCTTTAATAATTAGTTACAACAAGACAAATCACGTCTCGCTACTAGAGGTTATCAATATCAATGAGAAAAAATTGTCACAACAGATAAATAAAATTTCAAATTAAAGTGTTTGCCTTTAGAAGTGTATGTGTGTTTGTTTTTTTCAAGTGGAACCACAATCTTTGAGATTATAAACAATTTAAACTATACGTACGTGCAAGAGGGAGGAGAAAACATAATTAACATTGTGTAAAAATGTTCTATTTATTTAAGATGTGAATGTGTTTTTCACATGTTGGCACAAATTGAAATTAGGTCTTACTTGCAGAAGGAAGATATCGGCAGGCATCATCATGTCTTCTTGGTAGTGCCCCAAGCTCTCAAGCTTAATCACTTCCATAAACTGTAAACCAGAGGGAAAAAACGGCATAAGTTTAATTAGTTTATTCACAAGTAGAAACGTAGTTACATTGATTTGATTTTGAGAATCTCTTGTACACTTGCCTCTTCATTCTCTATAGTGTGAGCTAGAGGAAGAATGACTTGACCGCCAAAGCTCCCTGGGCGAGGGATTGGTAAGCTACAAGGGCCTGCTTTGATGGCTGCGGCCGAATATGCATCAATGCTATTGTCTGCCCATTCTTGCCTATGTTCCCTCAAGAACCGCAGAAGAATTGAGGGTGGAACATTCTACATAAACAAATATATCCTTAGTGACGGATGAACGGGAGGAAATTGAGAATCTCAACTTTGAGATTTGATGAGCTGAATTACTTGTAATAACATGGAAGCTTTGGCACATAAGACCGCGCTAGGCATAGAAGTGAAGCCATTGGCAAATGGAAGACTTGAAGTCATCATCATCTTTGTGGGAGAGGAGTTCACAAGAAGAGTGACATCATCAATACCATCGCTCTCTAGAATGGACCATCCTTCATCGCTGAACCCATTAACTGCTTCGTTGAATCCTCTGACATTTATAAGAGACAATTTTAGGTTTTAGAGGATGACATAATTTTCTAAGTGTTTTTGCAGTGTGAGAAGCTCCAATTACTTGCTGAGCCTTTGGCTAAGTGCTCTAAGAGCCGCTGGTCTTCTTCCCCAACCTGTTACGTTAGGTTGGGAAATCTCTTGAGATATTTGCCTCAGATAGCGCAGAGCCTGCAAACACCATAAGTTATTACACACTGTTTTTTTTTTTTCAAAGACATGGACAACAATGCTTCTTTAATTAGCAATCTTACGGCCATGGTGGTTCTTTGGGCGAGTAACGTGGACGACTCATAGAGAGAACGAAGAACTTCGGGCACACTCCATGGCTACAAACGATTTCAACGAAGCTTGTTTTAATATCATTGGCACCAAAACTTATATAATAATGACTAGAAATAAAGATTGAATTGTGGAAACAGAGGAAACACTCCAGTTTCAGACCAAGAATTAGGTTTCTTGTGTAAGAAGAAAGAAATGATAAAACTTGTGAAGATACCTCAAGATCAAAATGATCAACAATGTGAAGAATGGATCCACCTCCTTCGCAGGGTCTAATGAGGTAACCACTTGGTAGAATCTCTGCTCTAACGAAATGAGGAGACGGAGGCATACTTGGCCCGTTTTGTGTATTGTTCAACGAGCGTTCGCATATCTGCAAGAATAACATTTTGATGTAGGACCATCTATTGATAAAGAGAAACAAAATATCGATGTTAAGAGAATAATTACCACAAGGCTCCCGTCTTCCATTACAGATGTGTAACGTAGCATCCAGAAGTCACGAGCTGGCGCCAATGTTGTCGGCGCATAAAGCTTTCATTAGAAAGAAAGAGAGAAAAATTTAGTCAGTCATTTGATTATTTGGTTTGTCCTTAAGATGAAATCATCAATCATATTTAAGGTTCTTGATCATCAATACCTGCATGTAGATTAGTTCAAGGGTTCCACCATTTGCAGTGGAGAGTACGTTAACAATATCTAGAGATCTGCAATCACGCAACCAACAAGGCTTATCTTTTAGGATCTCGGCGACCTGCGAGAAAAAACAGAAATGTGATTTATGTTCTTGGTTGATCTATGAGGACGTAACTATGAGAAATAAGTGAGAATACTTACCCTTGTGGGATCAAGACCCACAAGGCCGCAAGCACGGGCTGCGATTCCCGTGCATCCGTGAGAAATAGCAACGATTCCTATGGAATCCGGACCAGGCTGCAGATGAAATTAGTTATAGTAGGAAGTGAAAATGATTGAATCATAGATAATATAAAGAAAACGAGATAGACTTATTTTACCTTCATCCCAGGCATCTGGACCCACTCGACAGCGGTTCCAGTGGCCTTAGAAATGAACTCTGTTAA